TTTGTATTTTAAATTTGGAATTAATTTGTGCTAGATCATGCTATGTTCAGTTTTAGAACTCAACTTAGGAAATTTATGATACGAAGTATTGAGTAGTGAGTGATTTGGGATATGATTTGGGCCTTCTTTGAACCGTTTGGGCCTTTCAAGCCGACCTTTTTATCGAAATTATCCTTAGAACCTTGATTTGGGCCTCGGAGAAAAGGTGTTCTTTCTTTTAGCCAATGTGTATAAGGTAGAAAAGTAGAGATTTTTTAAAAATTGCCCCTTGGAGTTCGGTCGAAATTTTTTATAAGATCTCTCTTCTTCTTAAAAATAAAAAAAGAAGAAGAAAAAAAAAAGAAGACGAAGAAGTATATAGGCTTCTATATATATTTATAAAAGAAAAGACAAAACAAAAGAAAAAAAACAAGAAGAAGACGAAGAAGATGAGACTAGAAGGGAGAAGAAAGGACAAGTTGTTGAAATTATTTTTGAAAGCTCGATCCATTGCCTCAAAAGCAAAAGTGGAAACTTTTGAACTTTCGAGAATCGAGTTTATTAAAGTCCTTAGAGGTGAATTCATGTTTCAAACGCCTAGCTTTCAAATTTTGGCGTAATCACCTCGAATTCAAGAATAATAGCCACATATACCCATATTTCCTACCTCGAACCTAAGAGCCTAACAATTGGAAGCCACAAAGCCCCAATGATCCCAATAGCTTAATTTTTGATATTAGTAGAGTAGAATAAGTTGGTGAGTATTTGGAGTCAAACATATGCATGTAAGCATAAATTTTTTCTATCTTTAATTTACAAATATTGGATGCTTGAAGCAATTGCATGATTTGTGGTTTTTGGCTATGGTAAGTGACTAAGTGCTTTTGAATTTTGAGCTTGCGAATGCCTAAGAATTATCATTATAATTACAAGTTCTGAAAACATGAAGTTGGTCATTAATCTATGTGATGAGATCCGGTAGTTGAGTTATTTGCTTACGATTAGATTTTGCTTGAGGACAAGCAAAAGTTCAAGTTTGGGGGTGTGTTGAGTGTAGATTTTACGCTCAATACGTTTACTTTACGTTGATCTTTTGTTTAGATTTAATTATATTTGTGCTTTATTTGATTGATTTTGTGTTATATAAGTGAAAACGAGAATTATGTGTCCATGAGGGAAAAAAAAGATCAAAAAGAAAGGAAAAAGTAGCAAATAAGGAAATAAATCAAATTGGAAGAAGAAATCTCGCCACAGCTTTGGCAGTGTCCACCATTTCGAGCATATCTCTATCATACGAACTCCAAATCAGCTGATTTTGTCGGCATTGGAAAGCTAATTTCAAGGGCTACAATTCTTATTTACAAAACATTCCACAACTTCGGATTCCAACATGGCGAAAATCGAAGAACAAATCCTGATGGGGGAAAGTGGCGGAAATCGATTCCTATTAGGTTTCCACTACTTCCTTATCAAGAAAAGCCTATAAAAGCAAAAAGTCTCTACACCATAAGCACGAAAATAGACACCACAATACACGAGGAACGAAGATCAACGAAGACTCAAGCATAGTTTTTCTTATTTAATTTATTTCTTTTATTTTCTTTATCATAAGAATCACGAGTAGCTAATTCTTTAATTTCTAGGATTTTATTTGGAACCCTATGTGGGATTTATGAACCCTTTACTATGATTTTATGCAAGTTTTAATTCCGGATTATTTCTCCTACTTGTTTTATTAAGTGCATGAATTCGATCACCTTATGTGCTTTTATGTTATTGTTAATCGCATGAATCGGAAGATCGGGTTAATAATTAGAACTGTGGCAGAAGAGCCTCTGTGGTATTAACATAGGAATATAGTTAATCTCGTAGGTAGCCATTATTGAGATTTGTGCTTAATGTTGTGTTCTAGAATTAATTGCGTAGGAATACAGTGATTGAATCTAGAGTATTAGAATCGTAATACACGCGGAAGCGGGTTATGATTAATTTAGCATCTCAGGTTAATAATCCGGGTTAATTGCTTGCATAATTGAAGGAACTGGGGGATTAATAATCACATAGGGGGGAGACTAAAATCCTAGGCTTGTTTACTTTGATAAATCTTCGTGTTTAATTTGTTTCTTGCTTTTGTCTTTTTAATTGCTTTAGTTTAATTTAGTTTATTAATCACCTTTCGACTGTGTAGGGTGAGCTTGATAATAATTGGTAGAATTTAGCGTCCAGGATTAGATAATTAAATATTCTCTGTGGGATCGATACTTGGACTTTAAAATCTACTTTATTACTTGTACGATACGTGCACTTGCGTGTAGGTATTTCCACCAACAAACCCCAAAACTTCAACAATTCGACGGAAAGGGGAACCCAAGCAACATATTACTCATTTCATCGAAACTTGCAACAATGCGGGGACTAACGGCGATCTCTTGGTGAAACAATTCGTAAGATTATACGCCCAATTAGCTAAGCGATCTGCCACCGTATTCTTTTGACGTACTATGTGCTTGAATTGAAAAGAAGAATCCACTTCCTGCCAACAAAGCCGAAGAATATATTCTAACTCCCATGTAACGACCTTGGTTTTAATTGCATTAATAGCCAACAAGCGAACAACGAGTCACTCTCCACCGTAACATGAAGGATACCCATGTGCCTACACATTCTTAAGCCATAAACTATAGCCAAAAAATCCGCAGAGTTGTTCGTGCCATGCCCGAAAAACGAAGAATATCCAGCGACAATATTCCCCCTCGAATCTCTAATAATACCGCCTCCTGAACTCATCCCACCTTTTGCAGAACCATCTGTATTAAGCGTATACTTTCGTGCATAAGGAAATTCCCATTTGTTCCATGCGCCCCGTTTATGAGGCGGCTGCACCACCGGAAGACCAGCGGCTTGAATACGATGACTTTGAATCTTGGTAGAAGATTGCCTGGGACGATGCAAAGCCACCAAGTTCTGCGTGTGGTAGTAAACCTTACGAATAATTTCAGCACTTGACATTTCCCCATCAGCATATACCACCCGGCACCGAGCATTCCAAATTTCACGAAAAATGTGACATACCACCGAATTCCTAATCATCGCATAAAGAGAGAGATCGGATGGCCGCGGGACCCAAACGCACAAAGCATGTTTGGGCGACTCAAACCGATCTTGGACTTGGAAAAGGGAGCCGAAGTGCTTCCAAACCCGTACCGCAATATCTGAGTGCAAAAATAGGTGAGCAATATCTTCCGGGCAAGGCGATTGGCAGCAAACACATCTTAAAGCCAATCGAATACCCCGAGAAATTATTCGTTGATCAACCGGCAATGCATGATGAATTAACTTCCATGAAAACCCACTAGTTCGATGAGGTAAGTAAGGCTGCCAAATACGAGTTGTCCACGAGACGCGCAAACGTGGCATATTAATATGACGCCAATATTCCTTAATCGAAAATTCACAAGATTGAGTGAGGGTAAAAATCAAACGATCCGGTTTATTCATCTCTAAAGTAACCTTCTTCATCTTTTCATGCCATTCTTGTGGTATAATTTGCAGCAGGTCTGCAAATTGGGGCCAGGCTTCCGCAATTGTCAAGTTATTATCGCTTGGTAAAGGTCCGACTAACACCTCTCCTAGCCAATTATCTGTCCAAAATTTAATAGCACCACGGCCCACCAACCATTGAGTACAGTCCGCTAAACTCTCCGCATGGCTACAAATCGACATCCATAATGGAGAGGCGGATCTCCTTGTAATATGAACTCGTTTATCATAATACTTCGCCCGAGCAAATTTGGACCATAATGAGGAATTTTGCAGCACCTTCCAGAATAGTTTACCATGTAAGCACCGCATGACTTGTTTGAGATCTCGAATACCCAAACCCCCTTCTTCAATAGGGGTACAAACCATTTTCCACCTCACCCAGTGGGTTCGCGATTCTCCACCAGAGCTCCACAAGAAGGAAGACATAAGTTGTTCTAGACGAACAAGAACAGAGGCCGGGACTTTGGAGCATGCTAGCGAATAAATCGGGATGCTTGCCATAACTTATTTAATCAACGTTAGTTTGCCCGCAAAGGAGAGAAGTTTACCGTGCCACCCCTGAAGTTTACCACGAACTTTTTGTACTAAATATTCGAAGTATTCAGCCTTGGTACGACCAGAATAAATCGGTATGCCAAGATATCGAAACGGCAGAGACGTACGACGAAAGCCTGTCAATTGTTCAATAGACTGACCCACAGATTCAGCCCACTTACCCACATACATGTGGCTTTTAGACGCATTCACCAATTGCCCTGAAGAGCGTTCTTAAGATTTTAAAACCTCCATAAGAGCTTGCATAGATTGTTGCCCTCCATTCAAGAAAATAAGTATGTCATCCGCATACAAAAGATGAGAAACCACCACTTCATTTCGACCAACCTTGAATGGAATAATTTGTTTCGTCACCATTTTCCGATTAAGATAGATGGTCAAAATTTGTTGTGCCAAGATAAATAAAAGAAGAGAGAGGGGATCGCCTTGCCGAACCCCGCGAGAAGATTTGAGGTTTCCGGTCAGGAGTCCGTTGATGTTAAAAGAATAAGAGATGTTGGGAGAAACCAAACGAGCGCATGGCCTTCAAGAGAAACCTCCACTCCAATCGGTCATAAGCCTTCGCCATATCCAGTTTAATAATGATGTTCCCATCCGAACACTTTCGATCAATATCTCTCGTCAACTCTTGTGCCATAACAATGTGAGTAGTCATATCCCTTCCCTGTACAAATCCAGCTTGCTCCTCCGAGATAATAAAAGGAAGAATCTTGCCTAATCGGTTCGCTAGAATTTTAGAAACAATCTTTCCCGAGAAATTACCCAAACTAATGGGTCTGAAATCGCTCATACTCCTTGCATTCTCGACTTTTGGTAACAATACAATTGTGGATAGACACATTTCCTTCAGTTAATAACCCCCGCGAAAGAAATTGACAATAAAATTTGCCAGCTCATCATTAATAATTTCCCAACATGCTATATAAAAATACCCCGTGAATCCGTCATTGCCGGGAGAACTAGACGCCTTCAGTCCCTTAATAGCGTTGAGAATTTCTTCTAGATCCGGAACTCTGCAAAAATTTTCATTTAAGGAGTTACTCACCACAGTAGTAACCTCATAGAATAAAGTCTAGTCCATATGATAGTCCGACGCCTTGAAAAGATTAGCGAAAAAAGATTCCGCTATAGCACCTATTTCGTTAGGATCAGTCGTAATGGATCCATCCTCTCTCTTAATTTGAATGGTCGAACGTTTGCACCGTTCTTTGATGCACGCATGGTAAAGAGCGGTGTTGCGATCCCCATCCTTCTCCCATGCAAGTCGAGCCTTGGCACTTAACATCTCCGCTTCCCAGTCTTCGAGACGATTAAGATGTTTCTTAGTCTCCACAAGATGCCCCGAAATCTCGTCATTCGAGCCCTGTTGAAGCTCATTTTCAAACGCTTGAATTGTTTGTTGAGAAGCTTTGATATTACTTTGTAGGTCACCAAACACTTCCCAATTCCACCGCTTAAGAACACGCCTGACATTATGCATTTTCTGCTGAAAAATATACGACGGAGACCCAAATACGGGAATAGTCCACGCCTTCTTGACTGTCTCTAGAAAAGAGCTATGATCTACCCACATACGCTAAAAAATAAATCTGGTTCGAACCGAATCCAGGGGCTGCTCAAAACTCACACATAAAGGCGCATGATCGGACAAAGTGCGCTCCAAATGAACGACCTTCAAATATGGAAAAGAAAGGTGAAACGAGGGACTAACCAGGATCCGATCAAGACGCTTCCAAATCCTCGCAGGTCCCGTCCTATTATTGCTCCAAGTGAATGGATTCCCAATAAATCCCGCGTCCATTAAACCACTTTGCAACACCAAATTCTGAAAATCAAGTAGACGGGAGATATCAACCAACCCTCCTTTCTTCTCCATAACGTCTAAAATGGCATTAAAGTCTCCACGTACTAACCATGGAGTGGATATAACAGCATGCATGGCGGTAATGTGAGCCCAAATATTTTTCCGTTCAGTATAAATGAAGGAAGCAGTGAACAACTTGCATAAATGAAGGAAGCAGTGAACAACGGCTGGCTAGGACTGGATATAGTAACCGTGATTGCTTAGGCGAAAATATTTAAGCATTGTATATCAACAAAAGGTTTCCATAGAATCCAAATATATTCTATGACCTACGGAAAAAATGTGTTTGTTAGAGAACTTTTGCGGCTCAAAATGTATACCATCGGTACCAACGACTCTATCATCTTCTACTACAACGGGAATGGTCTCAGCTGCACCCCGACGGAGCATATGTCGAGGCTGTCCCACCGGGTTTGTCTTCGCTACAAGGGGTTTTGTCACTCCTTGTTTCTTTCGACACGCTCCTACTAAGTGCCCCAATAATCCACAATGAGCGCAATATGTGTGATTGCCCTCATAGTCTACCTTCTGCCACCACCCATCATCCTTCGATACGCCGATAAAAATCGACTCCGGCAAATGTTGAGCCACATTAACCTCAATACACACCCGGGCGTAATGAGTGTGCGTGAATGCAAGCGTTCTTTCATCCACTCGTAAAACATTACCGAGCGCCGCTCCAATTCTTTCCAACGACGAGACATTGAAATATGGGAGCGGCAGTTTCGGTAAACGAACCCAAACCGCTACTTTGCTACTGTCTTTACCAATAGTAAATTCCGGCGTCCAACGAAACAAACGGAACATACAATTCTTGATGTTGTTAGAGTTGCGGGAGAGTGCTAACTTTGCATCTTGGATAGAGCCCGTATGAATGGTGATATGTCGGGGATCCAAAAACCCAATTGCAGGCTCGGACGACAAGAAGTTCCACTCCGAGTTTATGTGGGATCTGATATCTTGTAAACTCGGACGACCAGCAGAGAATTTCATGATCAACGTGTTATCGACTTGACGATTTAATTGATCTATTTCAATCGGTGAGAAAAATACCGCAGGGGCGTGTTCGACGGAGGCCGTGGGACGAGGTGCTAGGGCAACGGGGACGAGGCGAGGAGGAGATGTCATGCGTTTGGCCGCGAGCATCGCTGCGAATGAAGGACGGCCTGTAGTTGTGGACGGGGATTGCATGCCGCCGGTAAAACAGGAGGAAGATGTACGGCACTCAAGCTAGGGTTAAAGAAGTAATATCTTGAGCTAAGCTCTCAACCCTTCATTTTTTTGTTTTTCTTATTATGAAACATTGGAACAGATACAAACTATAATTACCAAACAAGGTACAAGATATAATGCAAAACGTACAACCACATAATAAATAATTCAGAGTGCTGACGTAATGAAGACTGGGATTCGGCCAGCAGGAACCGAGTTGGTAAAAATACGTGTCCAAAAACGTTAAATGCAAATGGTAAAAATACTGAATACAATCAGGTGAAAATTGCATAAAAAGACAGTACAATACTTTTACGTCTTGGAAGGTTATTCATAAAGATGATTTTTACGTCTTGGAAGGTTTTTCATAAAGATGATTTTGGTTTAGCGTCTCAAATGAGCCCTTTATAGAAACACAAAATATGTTTGGAGTAATTGGCACTTTGCATCCTTGAAATTACGTAGGTTTGGCACTTTGCATCCTTGAATTAGAAAAATAGCACTTTAGACTATTCAATTCCAAATTTTTTGGCACTTTGCACCCTCCTCCACTTTTTGGCTTGAAAAATCACAGGCAACTGATTTAGTGGATTTCAAGAGGGGCGAATTTGTCCCGTTACACGTATATAATACATATTTTAAAAAAAAAAATCTTCTAGGGACTCATTTTCAACAATAAAGATCTGCATGAGTCAAAAATTGAAGACTTTGTAACCTTCGTTTGAAGATATATACTAGAGCTGGAAAAAAAAAAACTATTACAAAAGCCAATAATTCATTAAAATTGCAGATTTTGAACTGCAGCTTACAATTCATAAAAATTATGGATTTCCAATTAATTCTTACAACTCAAAAAAGCTAAATAACAAGAAAATAATACATGAGTTTACAATTCATAAAATTTGCAGATTTCCGATACTTTGCACAGAGTCAGGACAAGCACATTTCAACCAATCAAATTTGAATCCCAAAATTGAAAAATTTAAACTCCTACCACCATTTTGATTTAAAGACTATACATATTTTGCCTTCTCTTTATATGTTTGTATCTCGATCTTTAATTGTTTCACCTTTTCCTTTCACCCAGGGCCGGTCCGGCGTATTTGGGGGCCCGGGGCGTGAATATATTTTGTGCCCTTAACAATATGAGGTTTCGGGCAACGCCTCGACCTTTTTTTTTTTCCTTTTTTTCTTTTTTGATAAAATAATATAGATAAAAATTTATTAATTTAAATTTCATTATCAAATATTAAAAAATATTTATGTATATCTAAATATTTCTTTTTAAAAGCAAATGTTAGAAATGTATGAAATAATTTTTGTTTGAAAAAAATGAAGATTTTTAAATTCTATAGCTTTAAAATTTATAAATAGAATTTTTTTTTTTACAATAGAAGAATAAACTTTTTGTTATACAGTAGAAAAATATTTTTTTGACACAAAAAATGTTAATATATATATATATATATATATATATATATATATATATATATATATATATATATATATATATATATATATAACACTAAAAATGGGCCCCTAATAAAACTGGGCCCTGGGCGTGGGCCCTGCTCGCCCCACCCAGGGCCGGCCCTGCTTTCACCTTTTGCGCTCCACCTTTAGTCACTTTGTCTTCTTCAAGTTTTTTAGCAAGCGAGTGAGAAACTGAATTTGTTCTAGCCATGGAGAAGATTTGAAAAAGAAAATGAAAACATGAGCAAAAAAAATTCAAGGATTTTGAAGAAATGAGAAGGGAACGAATGGAAAAAAAGTGAAGAAATGAGTAGTGAACTTTTTAATTTCCTGAGCAATTGGAGAAAGACAAATCTGCCATTTTTCAAATCCCTCTAAACAAGTCACCATCACATTTCCAGCCAAAAAGTGCAAGGGGTGCAAAGTATCAAGGAATTCGTAATTGAAGGATGCAAAGTACTATTTTTCCTAATTTAAGTATCAAGGAATTCGTAATTGAAGGATGCAAAGTACTATTTTTCCTAATTTAAGGGCGCAAAATGCTATGCCTATGTAATTCAAGAATGCAAAGTGTCAATTACCCAATTTCCAAGTATTACTAAGAATAAATGAACTTCGACGCGTTTATCACATTAAAAACGGGAAATAGCCGAAAATTTGTTACCACTTACCATCGTACAAATTCACAAGTACATATGAAAAGGATGCATATTAAATCCTCTTTCTTTCCATGTGTTTTATGAAATTCATAGGCTATAAACTATTCCTTCCGTTCCGAATTAACCGTCCTTTTCAACTTTACATAAGTTTTAAAAATTTCAATAAATGTTCTTGTATTTAGGAAAAAACACATTAAAAATACTAAAATAACATTAATGATTTAATAATATGATAATATAGTTAATACTTAAAATTGAATTACTAAAGTTAAAAAAAAAAAAAGTTAATACAGTATTAATAATCTAAAGTGACAGACAAATTTTGAACAAAATAGTTTTAAAAAACGACATTTATTATGAAACATTTATTATGAAACGTTGGAACAGAGGAGTATAAACAAACTATAATCACGAAACAAGGTAGAAAATATAATGCAAAACGTACAACCACATAATAAATAATTCAGAGTGCTGACGTAATGAAGACTGGGATTCGGCCCGAGTTGTCGTCATCTTCTCTACTCACCATCATCTCAAGCTCCTTCACGAACACTTCCATGGCGTCCGCCGGCAAGCATACCGGAACCACTATTCCGTTCTCCCCCTTCTTATTTTTAAACGGTATGTAGAAACTCGCAACCCCAGGTATGGCTCCTACGCCGCCCTTCGCCGGACCTCCGTACAATACTTTTACGTCTTGAAACTGTGGTTTATTTACAGTCTACAGTATCGGCTGAACTGTTTGATAAACTTTTGCAACAGTTTATATGTGCAGATGTTATTCTGAATTTGCTAACCCGTGTTCATGCAGGTATCATATATTTAGGGGGAGTAAATATTCTGACCAATCAATGCCAAAAGGGGAGAGTGTTAGAATCTCGGTGGGATTCTAAGTCCACAACACGAAGTGGAATTCTATGGAGATG